GTTTTGATGGTGTCCCGGTCATGTTTTGATGGTGTCCCGGTCATGTTGTGATGGTGTCCGGGTCATGTTTTGATGGTGTCCCGGTCATGTGATGGTGTCCCGGTCGTGTTGTGACGGTGTCCCGGTCATGTTTTGATGGTGTCCCGATCATGTGATGGTGGCGCGGTCATGTTGTGATGGTGTCCCGATCATGTTTTGATTGTGTCCCAGTCACGTTGTGACGGTGTCTCGGTCATGTTTTGATGGTGCCCCTGGTCATTTTGTGATGGTGTGCCGGTTATGTGATGATGGTGTCCAAGGAAGAGATGGCCGATGTGTTGAAAACAGCAGCTGTTTTCAGATTTTTCTTTTTGTCCGGGTTTGTATCTTGCTATTGGGGTCTCCAGCTGGGCTAATTTTTTTCTGGGATCACTCTTAACGCATATAATATGCTACCCCCCCCATGATTTACAATTTTTGCCTCCCGCATATGTTCTCCTAGACTGCCAAAACCAAAACCAAAAAGCAGCAAAACGCAACTCTGACGAACATCTTTGGTTTCAGCCTGAACTGTTGTTTCAATTGAGTCGTGTTAGTTTTTTTTTGCTTCATTCATCAAAAAGCAAAACATCACAAGGTCTTTTTTTGTTTTGCTTTGGTCTATGCAGCCTTGCATTCCGAAAAGAAAAGTAAGGGAAAAACACACACACAAGTTGTTTGTTGTTTTTTGAGAAAACAGTAAGCGAAAACCAAATACACCTGACCTTGTGTTTCTTTTTTGGAATTGTCACTGCACAGACCAAAGCAAACGCACAAACACACCACAACTTGTTTGTTTGATGAATGAAACCAAAAAAACAAAACAATCTCAATGAAAACCAAAGGACACATTTTTCAGACTGAAACCAAAGATTCTCCTCAAAGTTTTGTCCCCCACCTGTCACGTGAGGGTTGTTAGATTAATGTCAGTTACTTCGCGTCTCCTTCTCCTTCTCCTCGCCTCCTCAACCGCAAGTGTAGGATGGCAGTGTTCCCCGCCGGACCTCAACCGCGAGTCAGAAGATACGCCAGATAGAACGCCAGAAAGAATGTCAGAAGATATGCCAGAAAGAAACAGTTGTCAAATAACGTTTCAATACATGCCGAAAAATTGCCAGATTGAAATGTCATGGTGGGGGTCACTCGAAGTGAAGTATATTTTTTGGTTTTTGGTTTAGGCAGTCTATGAGAAGAAAACAAATAGACAAGAGATAGAGCAACAAATATGGACTCAAGACTCAATCAAGATTGCGGGTAAAACGTTTTCTAGGCATCTTGAATCTTGAATCCAGGTCCACAAAAACTATTCTTTTCTCTACACAGGGTTTTCCATTTTAGAAACTTGTTTATCTCAAATCTATGCACCAAAATATAGATATACTATTATAAATATTGTTCCCCCTTGACATTTGACGCCAATGTATTCACACATGAAAAGAGGTAGGTCAGGACATGGCTGTAGAGGAGTGAGGAGTCCTTGCTTCAAAAGGTATTACAAACATATGAAAAGGTAGATCTTCGTGGGAGGTGCCAAAATATGTATATATATCTGTATTTGGTTGGAGGCCATCGCTTCTAGGTTGGAGGCCATTACAATTAGGTTCCCATTGCTATTAGGTTCCCATTATATATTTTCGACAAAATATTTACCAGTCCTGACTGGTTTTCACTTGGTCATTGTGCCCTGACTGTGAGCCACATGCAAATGGGCGAGAAAAAAACATTGGACATCATTGGGACTAAAGACCTGGAGACAAGTACTTAAAGGGTTTTGCAGTGCATTGGTACTTGGTTAGGCTATTTTGTTGTTTCAAACCTTGATTGTTCGCTTTCAATCGTGGTTCATCCCAGTTCGTTTTGTTCGAAGTTCACTTCATTTTCAAAGCACCATGCCCCGCTCACCCAAATTCCCGAAAGGGAAGGACCTCTACCTACCCGCCTTGCTGCGCCTTGCCGTCAGGTCCATTCTGCTACCACAGAATGAGCAGTTCTACGTCACTGACAGCATGTGGGTGAACTTGGGCAATGTGCGCCCTGACCAGTCGCTGATTTGTGGTTGGCAAAAGGGAGGACTTGAGGGGAGTTCATGTTGTTCATTCATGGGATCTATCATCCGTCAGCCCTGCCACTATTCACAAGATTGGGGTGATGCAAAGTGATCACATCTAAATATTCCATCTATACTTCCTAATTATGCATTTTGATCGCTACTTTTTTACATGTTTTTTTGTTTCCTTCACCAACCACGGAATTCAGGCACTTTGAAGCTGTTCAAATCACCTGCAGCCACATGCATCAACCACGTCCGACCTGCTCAGTCGCCGGTCTTCAAGGGCTGTTCCAAAGGCTGGCTGGGGGGCTGAGGGGGTGGGTGAACAGTTGGGCCCCAATTCAATTGGCCAGGGAATTCGTGTGGATGAGTCGGGATGAGACCATCATAGCTTGGAACGTTTTTCGGGATACGCCCGAGCATCATTTGAGTCCGGTGAAGGAGCTAGAAGGCTACAATCGACCATCACCACAGTGAGGAGCGATGTATCATCAAAGTGTGTGAAAGTTCAGAGCTGACTCAACGTTTTGGAAGAAAAGAAAGCAAGCTGGATGAGTGAATGCCACAAAAAACATCCCAGTTCCGGACGGTTGCTATGAGGTCAGTTGACTTATGTAGAGCCGGATCGAGCCAGATCGGATGGATGAAACACAGGTCTTCCAACGACCCATCTGAAATGGCCGAACGGATGAGCTGTGAAAATTCTTATTGTTACTACTAGTATATAACAAGTGCATCGCTAGTAGAAACAGGTGCCTTACTAGTAGTAACAAGAAGCTATTAGAATTAAATTTAAACAATTAATAGCTTCTTGTTACTACTAGTAAGGCACTTGTTCCTAATAGCTTTTTGTTACTAGTAGTAAGGCACTTGTTACTACTAGCGAGGCACTTGTTACTAGTAGTAACAAGAAGCTAATGCATATCGTGATAAATGATCATGGACAAGTCATGCAGATAGCGAGAGCCCCTCACCTGACTCGTCCTACGACTGCAGACGACAGATCTGACAGGTACACAGATGTACACAGTAGCTGTCATGATAGCACCTCCTGCAAGCTGGTACAAACCTCAAGCTCACCAGAGCTGCTGTAACAGTCCTGACCTTCAAACTCCAGAATGTGAAATCCTTCTTTTCTGCTCACCAAGCCCTCCACTTCCTTTCGCTCCCCACACCAAACACCGCGTCCATCGCCACCCGTCGGCGGCGCGAGCGAGGTCGCTGGCGAAGTGGCGTCAGGGAGCGCACACGTATCGCTTCTCCGGGCTCAGTGGCGAGCCCAGCGAAGCCGAGCACGGTACCGAGGAGGAGCGGAGAAAAGCCAGCATTGTCTTAAAGGGGTCCAGTGGATGTATAGGTATATAGGATATGGAATAGGATGGTATAGCCGGTAAGAGCTGTAGATCAGGGATGATCAACGACAGATCCAGATCTCCCCTGGTGAGTATTGAGCAACGTGCAAGTGAAATCAGGGTTGATGAAGGACCCAGAACCGGCTTCGATCATTTTCCCTTCCAACAACACTTGGCCAGATAAAAATGGATGATTGGTGCATGTTGATGCTTCACTTGAGCGCCACACGTGCAGACAACTGCAGGTCTCCCAAAAAAACTGAGATGACGTCCAAACCTAATAGCGCCTCCAACCTAATAGAGCAATGGTCTCGGAAAATGACTGATCAAGTATTGAAGCTGCTTCTTCCACAGCAAACGCCACGCGACACGGAAAACGCCTCGCCTCTCCGGAGTTTCGCTCCTTCC